CTGAGCTGCCATACTCAGCTGATCTCATCTCTTATCAGGCCTCTGCTCCTGTCATACTTTTCTCTTTTTTTGACACAGAGTCTTGCTCTGTCACCCAGGCTGGAGTGCAGTGGGACAGTCTTGGCTCACTGCAACCTCTGCCTCCCGGGTCCAAGAGATTCTCCTGCCTCAGCCTCCCCAGTAGCTGGGACTACAGGAGTGCACCACGACACTCAGTTAACTTTTTTATTTTTAGTAGAGACGGGGTTTCACCATGTTGGCCAGGCTGGTCTCAAACTCCTGACCTCAAGTGATCTGCTTCCCAAAGTGCTGGGATTACAGCCATGAGCCACCGTGCCGGGCCAGTCATACTATTCTCTATGCACACTACTCACACCCACGTCTTGACTCTGTTTACACCTTTTCAACCATTAGGTTTTTAATATCACTTCCTCCCCAGAAGCTTCCCCCCTCCACACAAGCCATAATTATCAATATCTTAGGACATCCCACAATTTAATTCACTGATTGTTTATTTCTTCTACACAACTAAGAACAGGAACTAAGTCTGGTTCATTGTTGTATTCCTGGCACCTTGTGCTTGGCATCCCACAAGGTGCCTAATGAATGTATTTTGTACAAATAAATAAAAGGAAAGTCCTCATCTGTGACAGTTTCCTATTAGTCTATGGCACAGACTCTATATACTGGACCTTTCTTTTGTTCTGGTTCAAGGAAAGGCCACACATGCCCTGTCTCTCCTCTGTCCTCGATAACCTATAACTCTCAGCCTGGGCAACATAGTGAGACCCTATCTCTACAAAAAAATTTAAAATTAGCTGGGCATGGAAGTGCACGCTTGTTGTCCCAGGTACTTGGGGGGTTGAGGTGGGAGGATCACTTGAACCAGGGAAGTCAAGGTTGCAATGAGCTGTGATTGTGCCACTGCACTGCAGCCCGGGTGACAGAGCAAGACCCTGTCTCAAAAAAAAAAAAAAAAAAAAGTCTGTAACACAGATACTGGGTCTGACAACAAGCATATCAGAACTTGAAGACGTGCTACTACTGGGCACAAAGACACCAACCTACAGCAGAACAAAGTGGTGATTAAGAACTCTAGCTTTTGGGTCAGGCACACTTGAGTTAGAATCCCAGCTCTACCCTTTTCTGGCTGTGTCACCAGGGGCAATCTGCTTGAGCCTCAGTTTCCTACCTGCATGGAATTAAGTGCAGTAAAGTCACAGATATGTTGAAGAGCCTTTATAACGTAATATATATAAAGCCCTTAGCTCTAGCACCTACTAAGTTTACACAGCTCCTCATTGCCTTTTACCAAAGAAAACTATAGGGCAGAGCTAATAGGCTTTCTCCGCTCCTTTTCCGTTCTTCTTTTGTGACTTCCACTAAGCCCACCACTGCCATGCCTAGTCTCTGACAAGGAAAATGCCAGAAAATGGCTTTCTGACAGAGGTCTCACTGCCCCAGATGATAAGTGAGGAAGGTTGAGATACCTCCAAATGCCACGCTTTCAAGGAGAAAAACACCTTCTGGACTGATACTAGCTAGATATAAAACACCTCGTTTTAAAATCCTTCCACCAGGAAAGAGCACTACGGAGCTGCTTACAGCCTTTCCCCTAGCTTGTCCAGGACGATGTCACCAGCCGCCAGCTGCTTGCGCCTCAGCCGCTCTTTTAAGTCTGGGAAGGCCCGAAGCGCCGGCACATCCTCGAACCGCAGGTTCTGTGCGGCCTGCAGCTGCTCCGCCAGGTTGCTGAGGGAAGACAGGAGGGGCTGGCAGTCCTGCAGGGCACTCTGCCACAGGCCGTGCTGCTCCTCCACCACCAGGAAGCACTTCTTCAGGGCCTCCTGCACGGCAAGCAGAGGCCGGTCTTGAGTCATCTTCTGCTGAAAAAGATAAAAATAGAAAATAACCACGTTGGGGTGGCAAGTCAGTCCGGGAGGCACTGGGTCGAGGGTGGGCGTCATTTCCGTC